ATTTGAATATTAGAGCTTCACGGAAGATAGCTTCACGGAGGTATGGATTTCGTATGTTTTTTTTTAACATTCCTTTGTATATTTGAAATAAGTGAAAAAAGTTATCTAAGACATCTTCATGTGGATAAGTTTTTAAGTAGCAAATTAATGAACTTAAAATTTTGAATTATAAAACAGCAACACTTTCATCTGCATATAAATTCTAACTGACCTTCAGAAATCACATGCATCTATAATGTCGTAAACAGAGGTTTTTGCTTATTTAAAATGATTAAAGCGCCATCCGTTGCATAAAATTTAAAGCAAAAACAGATTCACGAAGGATAGAATCAATTTTTGTAACACCTACATAAATGGTTATAAAAATTATTTCTTTTAATGTTTAATAATGTTTTATATTTGATTCGATTACTTTGGATGTGTTTAGTTTACTTAGTGAACTGATATTTTTGGTAAACTTTTAGTGCCTCAGATATTTGAAAACATATAGGTTAACCTAGAGAGAGTAACAGTCACGTAGGATAGGTTTTAGACTTTTAAAACATTGTAAAAAATAATTAATTGCGGTTAAAAATCTGGAACCTGAGCTGTAATATCTATAGATATACTTAATTATGAAAGATCAAAACACAATAAAATTGTAGGTAAAACTCCCACCCCATTGTAGATTCACCCAAAGAACTATTTTGTTTTAGGTACTTACCTAAAATTTTCTATATGCCATTTATTGCCGCCCAAATTTATTAATTTAAGCGTTTAAATAATTTATTTAAACACTTGTTACATAAGTGAGGTTTTTGACCTGCTCTATTCAAAATTTTCCAACAAAACTGATTTCAGATATTTTGTTTTAACATTTTTTTTAACCTTAAAGGTTTAACTTCTCAAACTGACTTTAACCTAATTTATATAATTTTTTGTGGTCGTTTGTAATCGTTAACATCAATCTTGGATATATAAATATTCTTTTTTAGAAGTTATATCCCTTAAATTTATGTATTTCTTAAAAAATGTGATACAAGCAATAAACGCCCAGTCGTTATCTTTCCAATAACCACTTAAGTTTTCTTTTGACGCACGCGGTTCTTTTATTTATCACCACATCATTAAATATATCTGTTGCATCCCCCATTTATTTACTAATAAACACTCGTTATCTCAAGAGACCCAAATAAAAAAACTAAAGAAAAACGATCGAAAGTTCACGACACCCATTAATTTTATGTAATAAAAAATTATAATACATCTATGTGGATAAATCAGAGATAAGCGGTGATAAGTATATTGGTGAAATGCGATATTGTTTGGTTTGGGTGCAAAATTGAGAAAAAAGTAAATGCTACAAGTATTTAAAGACCTGTTGTTTAATTAGGTGTTGATTTTATAACGGTTAAGCTTATAAGCATAAGTGTATATATTACTATGAGAAAATGTTTATGTAAGTATAGATAATTTTGTATTGTATTTGTATTATTTTATGTTTTATTTTTAATTTACAATTGTTAATATCAACAGATCTATTACAAAAAAATAAAATGATAAATTTTTTACTTATCGTAACAATAATTATTTTACCTATAGGTAAAATACAGGTACAAGTTGATGACATACAACTTGCAACTTACTGTGATTAGATACAAATTTTGGTAAGCAACTGTAACTTACAGTTACAGTTACTTACATAAATTTGTAACTATATTTATAAATACAGATATAGTAGAAATTAAACAAACAAAGTTGCACTTACGTCATCAACTTTTGAGAATTAATTATGTTTAGCATTGCCAGATTTATCAAAAAATATCAAATTTGTCAGTAAATAACGCGTATATTATGATTTACTGACAAATTTGATATATTTTGATAAATCTGACGATGGTAAGGATATTAAGTTCTTAAACGTTGACTTACCAAAATTTATACACTAAGTATGTACACTGTGTATATTTGTAACTATGTAGATACAGATTTCATTGGATCTGGATACTTTTAGATTAATTATAATTATAATTATATAAATTATGTTTTGCTTCCACCCAAAATAGAAATAAAAAGGTGTTTAAATGAGACAACAAAAATAGATAAGGTCATACAACATGTTTAGTAATATTAGTAGATTTTATTCACACAACGGTAGTACATACGTAAAAAAAATTATGCAATAAGTAAAATCACAAATCCAATATCACAGCCTGCTGCAATAACATATGTATATGGGTGAATATAATCTAGAATGGGGATTTTGGGAAGCCACCAGGTATAGTAATAACATAACATAAGTGGTTCTGCACTAATGCAAGAATTTTAAGATATCATACATTTTGAATATTAGAGCTTCACGGAGGTTAGGATTTCGTATGTTTTTTTAAAACATCCCTTTGTATATTTGAAATAAGTTATTATATCTTTTGACACCTTAATATTTTTTAAAAATACAATTGTATACATAGGTACATAAATTTTTTATAAAAAAATCTACTTACTGAGATATTACACTTCACGGTGGATAGGTTTTAAAATAGCAAATTAATAAACTTAAACTTTTAAATTATAAAACAGCAACACTCTCATTTGCATATAAATTTTAACTGACCTTCAGGAATCACATGCATCTATAATGTCGTAAACAGAGGTTTTTGCTTATTTAAAATGATTAAAGCGCCATCCGTTGAATAAAATTTAAAGCAAAAACAGATTCACGGAGGTTAGAATCAATTTTTGCAATACCTACATAAATGGTTATAAAAATTATTTCTTTTAATTTTTAATAATATTTTATATTTGATTCGATTGCTTTGGATGTGTGAACTGATATTTTTAGTATGCTTTTACTACCTCAGATATTTGAAAACATATAGGTTCACCTAGAAAGAGTAACAGTCACGGAGGATAGGTTTTAGACTTTTAAAACATTGTAAAAAATAATTAATTGCGGTTAAAAATGTGGAACCTGAGCTGTAATATCTACTTAATTATGAAAGATGAAAACACAATAAAAGTGTAGGTGAAACTCATTTAGTTTTATTAAATACCACGGGGTAACACCATCGGAAAGAAGATAAAGATAAAAAATGTCTTTTAACAACTTAAATTTGAAATGGAAAAGATTTAATGGGATATGGACATTAAAAAACATTTTTGATATTATAATACGTTTTACAACTTAACCACCATTTTGTTTGTACTAAATGTTAAAAAATTAGTTTTTTGATAGATATACTCCATAATATATATTATATACTCCACTAAATTGTTTTAATATTAATATCGATGGTTATTTGACAAAACATCGTAAGCGACAATTGTTTCATTGTTCCGAAATGCTAGCATCGACAATCAGCGCCGCTGGTGGTGAAAAAAAGAAACTTAATTTGTACAATTTAGCAGGTTTTGTCAATTTCCACTATTAAGTTCGGGCTCCTTGTGTAGGCTCCATGGGTTATATACTGGTTTGTGAATAAAAATGGTTTGGCAAAATATTTGTGATATTTTATAAATAAATGTTTTTGTAATTTTTTTTATTTAATAATAAAAGTAAAAAAATAAATGTCGCTAACGATGTTTTGACAAAAGTAATCATCAAATCTATATCCCTCAGTAACGTAAATGTAACTTAGCGACGAGACTAATTTTACATTTTCCCAAAGATTTATTTATTATTTATAAAATATCGTATGCCACAAAATTTAATGAAAATTTTAGATTGGATTCGATCTTACTTAAATGTTTGAATTCTACATTAATAAAATAATGCCTCACCAGTTTTCAGATAAATAACTTTAAAAATAAAGCACCCACACAAAAAAAAATTTCTCCTGTAAAATTTAGGTTTTGTCGCTTACGATGTTTTGTCAAATAACCATCGATATTGTTATAATATTAATATTCACAGTAATGTTCTGAAAGGTGATTTTTGGACTTTCTGTGAAACCTAATTTTTTTATATTCTTGTTAATTAGGTCATAACTAAAATTTTAAGAGCAAAATAAAAAAAAATTGACGGTTAATTTTGTTTTAATTGGATGTTTATTAAAAATATGTATGCACACTTTCAATTCTCCAATTAAAACTTGCGATTTTATTTAAATATTATCATAACTTTTTAAATCAGATTAAAGATTAGTTAATTTCCTAAAAAAGGTCTATAATTTTTTATATCTTTTACTGGTTTGTTGTAATACACGTTTAAAGTTTTAATTTAAGGTTAAATGTATAGTATACATTTATTAAACAATAATTCTAAGGGTGCCACATTTTATTTAGGGCCGATTTATTCATTTTTGATTTATTTGACGAATAATTTCTTTGGATACTAGATATTGCCAAGACATGAAAGTTATCGGCCCGATAAACTTTACTAAAGATGAATAAACCGGTAGTTAAATTTCATGAATTTCTTCGTGACTTTTACTACAATTTTTCATTTTTGTTTATAAAAAACACTTCAAAAAACTAAACAAAAATTATAGAATACGTATACTACTGAAAATGACAATTCAAACGTCAAATAAATTTTTAATAGATCTAAGTTTCATGGCAACCTTTAAGGATATATTAATTAAGGGAACATATACGTCAAAGGTTAGATTAAAATTTTGAAAGTTTATTGCAACAAAACAGTAAAATATATAAAAAAAAATTGTAAAAACCTTTTTTTTTAGTTATGCAAATATTAAATATTTAAATAAAATCGCTAGTTTTAATTGGATAATTGAAAGAGTGCATAATAAACAGCCAATTAAAACAATTCAAACCGTCAATTTTTTTTTATTTTGCTCTTAAAATTTTAGTTATGACCTAATTAACAAGAATATAAAAAAAATTAGGTTACACAGAAAGTCCAAAAATCACCTCTCAGAACAGCACCGTGTATTGTGTTCATTACATTTTGTATAGCTTGAAAAATGTTTAAGTCCGACCCTGCCCACCTTAGCAGTGCACTAGTGTAAAAACCCTTAGGATAACATAGGCAACCCAGATAACAGTTTGATGCGTTTCAGGTGTAGACGGTTACGTCGACGAACAAGGTCAGTACAGCCCCGCCTCCCAGCCGGACGGGGCGGGTCAGTCGCCGCAGTCGCGGGCGGCCACGCCCCTCGGGTGCATCACGTACGCAACGTCGACGGGCGGCGCCGAAAACGGCGACCACGACGAAGGCTACGCATATGCCACGCAGCTGACCAGGCCAGATGGCTCCGGATATTTTCCGGTCACTTTTATGGACGACAGCGGGCCCAAATATTGCGTAAGTAAATTTAACGCAAAGTAGGTAGTTACGAAAAAATGTACAAAAGGTACCTACCATGGTATGCTCATAATTAAAAAGTATAATATATTATAAAAGATATAATTTAAACTCTATTGTTGTCAACATTCGATAAAGAAATACCTTGTTATGGCCTAGGCCGATAAAAAATTTTATGAGACAAGTAATTAGTTCGATTTTTTCTCGCTAGGGGTATTGTTTTGACAAATTAATCCTTTACTAAGAAATAAACGTACTAAACTGGTTTAATTTATTTATAATAAGCACTAATTTATTTGTTTTGCTGTTAATGTTTAATATTTTTCATTAAATTATTGTAAAATTAAATATGAATAATAAAACAAAAAGTGAGGTTAGGCAACCAAGAAAACGCACGATTCTTTTTCTACGATTTAAATTATCTTTAAGTTTTAATTTGCTTTAAGTTTTCAGTGAAATTAAATGTTAAACACAGCTTAAACATTACAAAATACCTATTTTTTAAATAAAAATTCAAACAAATTGCAATATGAAACCTACCTACCTATTTATTAAACAATTAATTGAATTCAATGTAATACCAAAAATCCATTTCTACTTAAATCATGTAGCTAGGTATTGTCAAACTATTACTGCTTCTAAAAGCAATAATAATTATTGTACATTAAATTTTAATGCAATCTTTAGCTAATAAATAAATGATATTCTAAAAAAGTGAGGTTAGGCCGCTTTGATGTTAAATTAAATTGACCTATATAAAGTGCTTTGAAGATAAAATGTATGCTACGCGTCGGCCTTCAAACCTTGAGCTTAGCACAAAAAGCCTTACTTCTTAACCTAATGACATAAATAAACTATATAAACCTAAAGGTAGCTTTTATTAGTTATTTACCCTTAATAAAGTTATTAAGGGTTACTTATGTAAAAAGCCCTGTCGCGGAGGTCGATTGGACCCTTTCATAAAATGTTGTTTAATTAAAATAATAAGTTAATTTTATTAATTAGATTAAAAAATCGCCGTGGCGGGCAAATATACCTATAATAACCATCGCAACAAACAGTATACGTAGACAATTAGTACATTCAAATGACATTTGATTTGATCATCAAATGACATTTGATTTAATCATCAAAATTAACTGTAAAAAAACTTTAGTGTAAAAAACTGCTTCTATATCTGATTTAAACAGTTGCTAGCCCATTTTAAGAAATAAATTTAGATTTTATATAGAAACATTTTAAAAGCCGGTAGGTATAACAGATTCACAGGTTACTCCATTTTTGTATAGATGTCGCTCTAAACAAATATTGAAATGAATTGATAATACTTACCTTATTTTTTAAACCTAATAAACTTTTCTAGACACTCATTTTATTAAAATAGTATATTATGTATCAAGTTTGATAAACGCCATTTTATACACGAATTTAATTTAGGCACGAGCGAGCTTGCGAGCGAGTGCTTAAGTTAATGAGTGTATAGAAAAGTTTATAAACGAGGTCCATATTATACTTTTTCTACGACAAATACTTATTATTATATTAAAATGATTTAAATCAAAAAATTGTATAGAGCGCCATCTATGAAACAACAGGGGAAACTGTCAAATGTCACATTTTTACATTTTTTAAACATTTTTTAAATCGAAATTTATTTCTTGAAAATGTACAGTTTTTCACAGTGAAAGTAAAGGAAATGTTTTATGAGGACTTTACAGTAGAGTCCGTGCCCGAATTTAAGTTATAGTTTACTGCCGGCGAAATTAAAAGGTCAGTACAATGTTCATATAAAATTTTCAAATATTGGCGTTGAGAAACTTTTTAGTATTTTTGTATTGAGATAATAAAATAATTTTCACATTTAGTATTATTTTACAAGAAAGGCACTTTATTTTAACGATTGTATGACATTTGACAGCTGTCAACTAACTTAAAACTAACTTCAGCCCGTGACTAAAAACCTGTTGCTAACTTCAGCCCGTGACTAAGGCGTCGTAAAGCCACAACTTGTCAATGAGTATTTAAAAGGTCACTTAGTGTCATGGAAACATGTACGATAAAGGGCGTTTTAAAGGTAGGAGTAGAAAAGTACTTTTTGATATCTAGAAATGTAACAAAAATAAGAAATCAATAACAAAACAGATTATTGAATGTATGTTTGTTATTTAGGTGGTTGAAGTGAACGACGGTTCGGGCAGTACTGATTTTCTGCAGCTGGGCGCCCCAGGAGGTACCGTGGTAACGGACTCTCCACATGGCAGTGGCAGCCACAGCCCTTTGTCTCCGGGCACCGCCAGGGCTTACGAAAACTTGCACGCGGTACCGCAGAACTCGGCCAGCGCAGACGACCATCATATGGAGGGAACGCAGCTCACTCAGCTGACCAGTCACAGCTACGCTAGCGAGATGGACTCGCCGCCCAGGTACGTACCGAGCAGAGGTAGTGGAGAGATACAGAAAGATACGATAGGTGCATCATGGTACCGTAACGTATAATTTTAGTAGGCATACCTACCTACCAGTAGCTTACCTAGATTTTGCTTCTGGAAGGGGTAACTTTTTTATTTGATTTCGGATTTAAACGAATATTAAAGAATAGGCTATGGAGGATGACAGTGACAGTTTTGTTGAATCATCCCATACTTGGACATGTCATATACAGCGTTCAAAAGCTATCAAATTGTTTTTTGTAAATTAATGTGTTAATTTTGACGTGTCTTCTTACTTTTAAAAATGTCTTCGACTGATGTTGCCCTTTGTACTTTACTTCTTGTGACGTTTAAAACACTTGCCACGTAATACTGTGACCGTCCATCCTGGATTAAATTAATAGCTCTGGCAACATCAGTCGGAGACATATCCATTTTTTAAAGTAAGAAGACACCTCAAAATTTAAACATTAATTTGCAAAAAATAATTTGATAGCTTTTGAAAGCTGTATATGACATGTCCAAGTAATACTTGGCAAGTATGGGATGATTCAACAAAACTGTCACTGTCATCCTCCATAGCCTGTGGATGGACCATAGCAACCTTAATAATTCTTCATAGTATGAAGTTCATACAGAAAAATACTGTAAATTGCAATGTTTTAAAAAAAAAATCCATATTTTCCACAAAAATAAATATATCGAGGTGAACCAAAAACAAAACTGTTAAGAATAGATGTGACTTGATAAATAAAACTTAATTTAGAACAATATACGGTTTTGCCACTCTACAGAGTGTCTTAAACTTATGGTAAAAAACATCTTTTTGTTTAAACCTGTATATTATAATATATATAAAGTTTATAATATAAACTACGTTTATTTTTTAGTAATTTTTAAAATGTGAGCGATTCTCCATTAATGCCTCTACAATATTCTTTAATATTTGTATAAATAAATGATTTTATATAAATCTAAACTATTCTGGAGTTGCATAAAAACAATTTAGGAATAAAATAATAAAAAGGCTAAATTAAAAAAATATAAAATATATACACGTTTATTAAAAAAATCTTTACCATTTCCAATAATTTCGAAACTTAAGTCCATTGAAGCTTCATTAATTTTATTAAAATATTGTTGCAAAAATGTATGATAAAATAATTTCCTTTAACAATCTTTTTTGAAAACCTAATCAATTTTTAAGATAAAAGTGAAAGTGAAAAGGAAAATTTTGGGTGAATATATTGAGATGTCCCCCAAGTAAAAATGATTATTTTTTATTTTTAATTGTTTCACTGTTAGTCTAGAATGGGGTTTTCGGGAAGCCACCAGGTCTAGTAATATTATAACATATATGTTATAATATTACTAGACCTGGTGGCTTCCCGAAAACCCCATTATGCATAAGTGGTTCTGCACTAATGCAAGAATTTTAAGAAATCATACATTTTGAATATTAGAGCTTCACGGAGGTTAGGATTTCGTATGTTTTTTAAACACGCCTTTGTATATTTGAAATAAGTTATTATATCTTTTGACACCTAAATATTTTTTAAAGATACAATTTTACCTAGATAAAATATTTATAAAAAAAATCAACCTACTGAGATATTACACTTCACGGTGGATAGGTGTTTAAATAGCAAATTAATGAACTTAAACTTTTGAATTATAAAACAGCAACACTCTCATTTGCATATAAATTCTAACTGACCTTCAGGAATCACATACATCTATAATGTCGTAGACAGAGGTTTTTGCTTATTTAAAATGATTAAAGCGTCATCCGTTGTATAAAATTTAAAGCAAAAACAGATTCACGGAGGATAGAATCAATTTTTGTAACACCTACATAAATGGTTATAAAAATTATTTCTTTAAATTTTTAATAATATTTTATATTTGATTCGATTGCTTTGGATGTGTTTAATTTACTTAGTGGACTGATATTTTTAGTATTTACTACCTCAGATATTTGAAAACATATAGGTTAACCTAGAAAGAGTAACAGTCACTGAGGATAGGTTTTAAATTTTTAAAACATTGTAAAAAATAATTAATTGCGGTTAAAAATCTGTATCTACTTAATTATGAAAGATCAAAACACAATAAAAGTGTAGGTCAAACTCATTTTGACTATGGCTCTTAATTTCATTCCATGTTTTGTAGAATTCTTTTTAATATTTTCGTCGCCTTTTATTGATATGATCTTATCTTTCAATCGGAAATAAAAGTGCGACCGATCACTGAATTTCTCTTGTTGATTCCTGTCTGATTGCTATTCTCCCTATTTGCATATTGATAAAACAGATTAAATAAAACACGGAAAATTATTCTTAAATTCAAAAAAGTGTCGTGATTGAGTACGTACGTCATGGATTTTACGTAAGTAACACAATTTTTACATAATGCCATAAATTTATTATCGATGAAGGTACTATAATAATACTTTAAATTTAAATTGTTAATTGCAATATTTCTGCATTGCCTATATCTACATAAAATAAATTCTGAATTATAAATAGAAATATTGCGCGTTTATTTCTTTAAATACAAAAAGCACAGTAGAACGGAGCGTACTAAAATATAAAACAGGAAAGAAACTATGATAAGGCTACTTCCTGTGTATATTTTTAAAATAATGGCGTAGAACAATTATTTAGGAAGGTAAATATATTTTACCCTGTCAAATGAAGTTTGCACTTTAAAGTTAAAAATTTATTTAATTTTTGGCATTTTAGTTTTTTAGGTTTTTTAATTTCCAAAAGCCTTTGTACTGTCAAACAATTGTTAGGGCGGGAAATTGACCTACACTGAAAAAAAATTCTTGCATCAAATAAATTTATTTGATACAAAACAATCTTTGTCTCATATAAAACGAAGAGAATATATTCTTAAAAATAGTAAAGTATTTTCTTTCTTCTTTAACCAAATAATTGGTTGTTTTAAAGCAAGAATATGTTCTTTTAAAAATAAATTAGTGGTATTCTTAAATATAAAATATACTTACTTAATTCAAGAATAAATTTTCTTAAAACAAAAACATGTGATAATGAAATAAGGCAATCATTTCAAATCAAAATGTTTTCTATAACCCATTATTTTTTTAATTAATAGATACAAGATTTAAAATTTTATTTCATTGATTAAAAAATAATATTTATTTTAAAACATTGCAAGAAGTATCGTTAAAAATAAAATGTATCTATCTTAATTTTAAGCTACTTTTAGCAATGTTTCAAAAAATCTATCAATTGGTATTTAAAATCAATAAAACTTTAAATAATGATACATCTTTTAACTAAAAATTATTTATTTTAATAATAAAAACATCTTAATATTTCGGAATATTACTGCAAAAGAAATAAAATAAAAAATAAAAATACGTCTAAACACTTGAAGGGGACTGGAGTAATTTTAAAAATCCTGTAATTTTTTAAGGATTGTTGTCTAATCTTAAACAAAACTTTATATTTAAATACTTACGGATTATTCAAAATTGAGCCAAACTTACTGAAGGCCCAAGTACCTATACGTTGTATCGTTTCTAGGTGGTGCAGTAAGCAAAAAAAAATAGGTTAGAAAATAAAAAACAAACGTTGAACAAACACATTTATTTTGTTTTAAATAAATAAAATCTAAAATGTATACATTATTATAAATTCACGTAGGGAACTTAATCATTATTATCGACATATTTTTCATTTTAAATAATTTGTAATATTTTAGGCATAGTAAAAAAGCAATTACCAATTTTATAAAATAATTTAGAGCTATTGCCAATATGAATAAAAATTAATGTTATACCCCAAAATTACTTCTAAAACAAAATATTTTTAAATGTCATAAAATAAATTAATTTTATTAACTTAAAATTATAGAGCCATACAAATCAGAGTGTTAAACACATAATAGAGAAAGAACACTGCAGTATTAGGCATAAAATTTCAGAGGAACGTGTCGGCATCTCCACTCCTACACGATTTCAAAAATATGTTGGCAAAAGAAAAAAAATACTGTTTATTTTATTTATTAATTTTAAAGCAAGTTGAGTTGAATTAAAAAAATATTTTCAAAATAATAGGTGTTCTAAATATAAGAAATCTTTTTTTCAGTGTAAGTAAAATAAGTAGAAACGTCAATATAAAAAGTTTTGGAATAGAATGAGATTAAACTATTTATTTTAAAATTGGTTGATTCCCCTTTTTATTTGCCTTTTCACACCTGTGTTAAGTTACGATTCTCAAGTACCCATCAAAGGCACATTCTGCAAATATTTTTTTGTTTTTGTTAGTTTACTTTACAAACCAACTTTCCTGGTTTCCTTTTTGCGGCTTGTTTAACCATTATTTGCAACTTTGACACGTTCCGGTGCTATTATTATTATTATTATTTAAACCTGTGCAAATTTATCATTTTTGAGTCATTAAATCGTTTTGTGAGGTAATTTTTTATCTTATTGTTAAAAAATATACGCAATTATCTTTTCTAGTTTGCTTTATATTTTAACATTATTCATATTTGTATTGATACGGATAAAAGTAATTATCCTGTTTTTTGTAGTTTGATTTTCAATTAAAACGATAGTTTTTTAAACAGTAAGAATATAAGACATTTTTGTGGCAAGGTCAAATGTTTTTAACATTTTTAAGCTTATTTATAAACATTTTGAAGATATGTTAAAAGGCATTCGTCTGAAAATCGACTAGACGCCTTATCTGAAACTATTAGGCACCTACAAGATTTTTAACTGGTTAAACAATTTAAAACATTCCTATTAGTGAGCCTACTGAATTTTCTGTTCACCTAAGGATTTACTGACCTTTCTTTTTACCTCTTTGTTAGAGTGAAATTGGTTGTAATCCAAGATATACTTTCATAGATAATTAGTCATAGTAATGAATGCTCAGACCTTTTAGATTTTTGTTCATGGTGTATAGAAACAATTAATAATTAATAATAAAATAAAACACTAGTAATAACCTAATAAC